TCCATAGGTTCAATTCTTCTTGGACATTGTCACTCCTTCCTTCACTTCCCCTCAGTTTCTTCTTCCCAACCCTGCCCACAAGTTGCATAGTTCATTTTGACAGTATATACTGAATATACCATGACTATATTCACCCTTCCTCCCTTCATTTGTATTCCCTTTCTGTGCTCCCTAAAAACAAAAAAATAAACTAAAAAACAAGTCTGGGAATGTGGCTTAGTCGTAGTATACTTGCCTAGCATGCATGAGGTCCTGGGTTCAATTCCTCAGTGCCACATTAAATAAACAAAATTTTAAAAACAACAATAAAACAAAGGCATATCTCCTAGAATCGATTTTAATGAATAGTATTTTAGATGTTCAGAGGAATTATAGTCAAAGAATACCTGTACCCTCCTTTAGTCTGTTCAAGTGTACATAGATACATAGAGCCCTGTATGAATTATCATGTCCAGTTGTATTTTAGATCTTTCTTCCACATTCATATTTTTAAAAATTTCAGAGCCGGGGGGCTGGGAACGTGGCTCAGTGGTAGAGCGCTTGCCTTGCATGCCTGAGGCCGAGGGTTCGATTCCTCAGCACCACATAAGCAAAAAGAAAAAAGCTGGAAGTGGTGCTATGGCTCAAGTGGTAGAACACTAGCCTTGAGCTGAAGAGCTGAGGGACAGCACCCAGGCCCAGAGTTCAGGCCCTACAACCGGACCTCTCCCAAAAAAAATTTCAGAACTGGGCGCCCGTGGCTCATGCCTATAATTCTAGCTACTCAGGAGGCTGAGATCTGAGGATCATGGTTCAAAGCCAGCCTGGGCAAGAAAGTCTGGGAAACTGTAATCTCCAATAAACCACCAGAAAACCGAAAGTGGCGCTGTAGCTCAAGTGGTAGAGCAGTAGCCTTGAGCTGAAGAGCTGAGGAACAGCGCCCAGGCCCAGAGTTCAAGCCCCATGACCAACAACAACAAAAAAAATTTCTTTCCCATATTTGTCCTCATTCCTAGCTCTTAGCCATTAAAATCAAATTTTCTCTCAACTTCTGGGTTCTCTGCCAAAGACTGACTTGCAATGTCTTATGCTGTCTTAAATAGGAATCTTTATCTCAGCTCTGACCTCTTGGAACTTGGGTATGGGCTAATGATTGTGCCCTAGCCTAGCCAACTTATCTACTCCTTTACTTCTTGTTTCCCCACCCCTCACACCATCACCTGCTATAAAGTAGTGGATTCAGGATTTCCCTGAAGACAATCAAGGACAGCCTAATCTTCAACTGTTTAATATATTTGTATAATGCTTCTAATTCAGACTTTGTCAAGAAATCTATCAAGCTGTGTCTGAGACTTTTTTATATATGCTTTAAACATACAATTCCCTACACATTTGGAAATGTTTTCCATACTAGAAATTCACGGGAAAAAAAGCAGTTCATCATAAAGGTTTTAATATAAATGAGCACAATAATTAATAATAGTTTCAGTTGATCAGTGGTTAGTAAGTTACATTTAAATCAGAGTAAGAATGTCTTCCATGCTGTTATTATGCAGTAAAGTGACTATAAATAACACTAGTACACTGTAATTCAGAAAGCTAGAAGAAAGGATTTTACCATTAGGAACGTACAAATGTTTGAGGATAGAGATATGTTAAACCCAAACTAAAAATTATATTATGGCCAGGCATGGGTGACTCACACCTGTAAACCTACAAACTCAGGAGGCTAAGATCTGAGGATCTCAGTTTGAAGCTAGCCCTGGCAGGAAAGTCTATGAAACTTACCTCCAATTAACAACTAAAAAGCCAGAAGTGACCTGGGTGCTGGTGGCTCACACCTATAATCCTAGCTACTCAGGAGGCTGAGATCTGAGGATTGCCATTGGAAGGAAGCCAGCCTGAGCAAGAAAGTGCATGAGACTCTTATCTCCAACAAACCACTCAAAAACCAGATGTGGCACTGCTGCTCAAAGTAGAGTGTTAGCCTTGAGCAAATAAGCTCAGGGACAGTGCCAGGCCCTGAGTTCAAGCCCTAGGACTGGCACAGAAAATAAGTGGTGTGTGTGTGTGTGTGTGTGTGTGTGTGTGTGTGCCAGGCCCTGAGTTCAAGCCCTAGGACTGGCACAAAAAATAAGTGGTGTGTGTGTGTGTCTGTGCCAGGCCCTGAGTTCAAGCCCTAGGACTGGCACAGAAAATAAGTGGTGTGTGTGTGTGTGTGTGTGTGTGTGTGTGTGTGTGTGTGTGTGTGTGTGTGTGTGTGTGTGTGTGTGTGTGTGTGTGTGTGCCAGGCCCTGAGTTCAAGCCCTAGGACTGGCACAAAAAATAAGTGGTGTGTGTGTGTGTCTGTGCCAGGCCCTGAGTTCAAGCCCTAGGACTGGCACAAAAAATAAGTGGTGTGTGTGTGTGTGTGTGTGTGTGTGTGTGTGTGTGCGCGCGCGCCAGGCCCTGAGTTCAAGCCCTAGAACTGGCACAAAAAATAAGTGGTGTGTGTGTGTTTCAGTTAAAAGGTAATCTTTTTTGCTAGCACTGAAACTTGAACTCAGTGTATCTTGCTCTTGCTTAGCTTTTTCCAGTCATGACTTGTATTTCTACCTCTTGTCATATCTCCACTTCCAGCTTTTTTCACACTTTCAGCTTTTTTTAATGCCAGTCCTGGGGCTTGAACTCAGACACTGAGCACTGTCCCAGAGCTTCTTTTTTTTTGCTCAAGGCTAGCACTCTACCACCTGAGCCAGCTTCACTTCTAGCCTTTTCTGTTTATGTGGTACTGAGGAATCAGACCCAGGGCTTCATGCATGCTAGGCAAGCACTCTACCACTGAGCCATATTCCAAGACTCTCACTTCCTGCTTTTTGATGGTTATTTGGACATAAAAATGTCAGCGATTTTTCTGCCCAGACTTGCTTTAAATCTTGATTCTCAGATCTCAATTTCCTGACTAGCTAGGCACAAGTCACTGGCACCTAGCAAGCAAGTTTAATTTTTAAAACAAAAGTCAAAAAAATAGTAGAGTCACATTCCATATTACAGCTTTTTGTTGTTGTTTTACACCTAAGTTTGAAGTAACAATCACTTGTTGAACTTTAGTAGAGGCTTAAAGAAAGAATATCCAAAAGTATAGAAAAAGTCCACTAATTCTCTTCCATTTTCAAACTGTACATCCATATGCAATCAGATTGTTTTCATTTGTATCAATCAGAATTGTCATAGAAGATCAAGTGCAGAGGGATGTGTGAGAATCCACTATGTCTTCCACTGTCAGACATAGAGATTCACACTAATTTCAACAAATTCTACTTTTCTTACTTTTGTCATAGAAAATGTAGTAATTTTTCATGTTTATGTGTTCAGTTTTAAGTGAATATTTTTGTTTTGATTCATAACACTATAAATATAGGTATAATACATGTGAACAGAATTTCTTAAGAGGTCCTCAATAATTTCTTAAAATATGAACAGGTCCTGAGACCTCAAAACCTGAAAATTCATATTTTACTCGTGTGTGTGTGTGTGTGTGTGTGTGTGTGTGTGTGTGTGTGTGTGTCCATACTGACTGGGGCTTCTTAAGGCCTCACACCTTCTCTTAGCTTTTTAGCTCAAAGTCTGTGGCTCTGTCACTTGAGATACACCTCCACTTCTTTGTACCCGTAGGTACCTGGTATTCTCTCTGTCACTAGACACAGCAGATTTGAGGAAGAAGTTGTGAATGAAACTGAAATGTTATGTAGACTTTGATCTATGCCCTACTTGGTCAGAAAGCTCTGGAAACTATAAACAGGGTCAGACCATGTGGTCTTAGAAACTTCTCATTACTGAGGCTAGCACTTAATGGTAACTTCTCTCAGTACCAGCATCCACCTGTTTGTTCTTTAGAGATTTTTTTTTTCCTTGAATCTTACCCTTGCGTGGATGGGTCACTGTGTGCATCACATTGAATTTCTATGATTTCTACACAAGGTTTTATTACACTAAGTCTTATAACAAACATTTTCTGGTTTCACTGTATATGACCCATTCATTTCAACTAGTACTTTACAGAATAAAAAAAATATATTGGATGATCTCTTCTTGCTCTTTGTAATGGGTTTTGAGATACTGAAAATTCTCACCAGATAACGCAGGCATGGTTATTTGACTGATATAACCATCCATAAAATACTTCGAAGTTTCAGAACCATCCATAAAATACTTCCAAGTTTCTGCTCAAAGCCCTTTGCCTCCTTGATATTGAGGCTACTCACAATAAGGCTTGCTGTTTTCTCCTTGAAGGAGTGCTCAGATTGCTGATCTCCAGCAAAAGCTCCTGGATGCAGAAAGTGAAGATGGTCCCAAACAACGCTGGGAGACTATTGCTACGATTCTGGAAGCCAAATGCGCCCTGAGATATTTAATTGGAGAGGTAAATATCATTCTTCCTCCCAACTGGCTGGGTAGGTTGAGATGAACTACCTTGGAATACTGTTACAGTGTCATTGCTTTATTTTCATGATAGAAACCCAATGATGCTAACACTGGAGAGAGAATTTAGTGATTAAAGGATGGTAATGAACAAATATGAGCTAGTCACTTAAAAATGTGTCATGCAACTGACAAATTGATACTCATCATGCCTGGCATGTGGCAGGTCTGCAGTACATGTCAGCTGTTGGTATTAGGGGAAGACAATGATGCCACAGAATACTACTGCTTAAATATAAACTAATGCATTGTACTATGTTTTAAAACACCTGTGAGATATATTCTCGAAAAGTTTAAAGTGGGGCACCAGTGGCTCGCGCCTATAATCCTAACTGTTCAGGAGGCTGAGATCTGAGGATTATGGTTCAAAACCAGTCCAGCCAGGAAAGTCCGTGAAACTCTTATCTCCAATAAACGATTCAGAAAAAGCTGGAAGTGTTACTGGAGCTCAAGCGGTAAAGTACTAGCCTTGAGCACAAAGAGGCTCAGGGACAGCACCCAGGCCCCTAATTCAAGTCCCAGTGCCGACCAGCAAAAAAAAAAAAATACAGCCCTTTGTTGTGCCCTTTTATGACTGACTTGTGTCTTAAAAGGCTAACACAGAAGGGTAAAGAAAATCTCCATAAAACCCAGAGAGTAGATGGTAAAACTTCTCTTTGGATCCTGTCTGGAGTTACAGCTGAAAAAATGTTTAAGATACAGTCTACAAAAGAAAAACTGCCTGTGATCCTGGCAACTCAAAGAGCTGAGACTGAGAATAATGGTTCAGAGACACCCCAGGCAGGAAAGTCCATGTAATTTCTTATCTCCAACTAACCACAAAAATCCAGAAGTAGAGGTATGGCTCAAGTGGTAAAGCACCAGCCTTGAGCAAAAAAGGCAAGAATGAGAAAGAAAAGGAAAAAAAGAGGGGGAGAGGAGGGAGGGAAAAGGAAGAGAAAGAAAAAGAAGAGAGAAAAGAGAACAAAACAGCTTTGACATATTAAGATTTATTTTAAGAAAAAAAAACTTCACTGACCTTAAAATCAAATAATATAGTATCTTACATCTATGAAATGACTCTTGGACACCTCTAGTGACTGAAGCATTTTTCTCCATGACTAGCATACAAACTCTGAATCCACAAGTTCAAGCAAGTGCTACCCTTTATACACTTTTGTGTTGGGTTAGCAGATTTATTCTACTAAGGAATCCTGATTAGTCTTGTGAATGCTGGTATTTATGGTTCTTGCCATCTGGGCTAGTAGTGAATGTAAAAGTAGGCCAGCACCGGATATCAGTCGAGCCTGAAGAGCCAGATCTGCAGTTTCAGCTAATGTGTCCACGAGTTCTGACATGCAGACAGACATTCCAAAGCAGAATTGTCCATAAAAGTGTGTCCTGCGGATTTTGTTTTAAAATTAAAGGGAGAAAAACTCCTTAAATATCAGAATCTTGGAGGTTGTGAGATGCTGCCTGCAGTAGATTTATTAGTGATGGCCTTCTAGTCATAAGACACATTTCTCAGCAGAAAGCTGGACTCTTGGATTGGGTTGAGAACAAGTGTTATTATTCAGCGTCAGAATCCACATGACATGAAAAAATAGGAATGGACTTGGACATGGAGGAACTCTTCTCAGACCATTTCAAGAGAGCTAACATTTCCCTAAATAATGAATAAGGTGAGATAGGTCATTCTCCAAATACAGTGATCTTCCTTTTATCCCTTCTAGCTGGTCTCCTCCAAAATACAGGTCAGCAAGCTTGAAAGCAGCCTGAAACAGAGCAAGGCTAGCTGTGCTGACATGCAGAAGATGCTGTTTGAGGAGCGAAATCACTTTGCTGAGATCGAAATAAATTTAAAGGCTGAGCTGGATGGAGTGGAGAGACAGCACCAAGAGAAGGTAAACTCTGGCTGAGGTTTTCCTCAAAAGACTGTGGGATACCTGGCAACAGTGACTCACACCTGCAATCCTAGTTACTCAGGAGGCTGAGGATCACAGTTTGAAGCCAGCCCAGGCAGGAAAATCTATGAAACTCTTATCTCCAATTAACCAGCAAAAGGCCAGAAGTGGATCCTTGGTGGCAGTAGGGCAAGGATGGGAGGAGATGGGGGGCAGGCAAGAAAAAGTCCCTGAGTTTCAAGCCCCAGTATAAGCACACACATAGAAAAAATAACTCTATGGTCTTTTCCAAATTTTCAAACAAAAGTTCATTTGTCTAAGTTTATATCTGCCAGTGATGATGACTCTTAGCCTTTCACTTGAACCCCAAGATAAATGTGCTAAGAAACACATTATTGTTGTGGTTGCTATTTCAATGCATTTAGAGTATACCTCTAAATCACAAGAGGATCATCTGGATCCCTATGTGAACTAGGTAGAAGTTCCTTTCTCCCCTTCTTTTTGTGTCTCTCTCTAGATGCTGTACCTGCTCAGCCAGCTGCGGGAAAGTCAAATGGCAGAGAAGCAGCTGGAGGAGTCAGTTAGTGGAAAGGAACAGCAGCTCCTGTGTAGACTGCAATGTCAGGTATGAGAAAGAGGAAGAGTTCTCTCAGACAGGCTTCAAGCACCTCGTTGACAATTCTGTCTCATTGACATCATTGTATTTGCAGCAGAACATAATTAACTACTGAAGAAATGCTTATAATGGTAGCGTTTACTGCTTTTTGCCCTATTTGATCAGGTTAGAGGTAAGCAGTTTTGCTACCAGAATGGCCAGTACATACTCTACTAGACTTTGAGGCTTCCTGGTTTTTCTGTATCCACTTTGAGCTCTGAATAATTGTCTTAGTGAAGTCATATAGTAGTTAGAATCCTAGGGTTGTGCAACTGAATCTTCCTGAGCTAGTTCTTAAGCTGAGACCTGACATGTTTGTAAAATGCCTAGAGTCTGAATTTCTTCTAGAACACCACACCCTTTAGTAGCATGTTGAAGCACTATTTTAATCCAACTCAGAATCTTTTTCCTGCACTTCCCCTTTTAGTGTTTCCTTCACCATCTCCCACCTAAGACATAACCCATAAACTTAGTTATAGTTGTATATATGAATCCAGTTGTTTTAAGTGCTGGGAAATTTAATCAGACACTGTCTGCTCTGTTTGGAAGGGTGAGCAGAAGCATCTGTAGACTTCAAGAGATGGGCTGACTTCTGTGTGTTTCTGAATTGACATCCTGTTGTGAATATGGGTGAAGAAGCCTTAGAGAATGGGAAAGAATAAGGAAGGCTATTGGACGGCCCACGGTTCCTACTGGTGTGGTCAGGGCTTCAAGGAAGCCCTGGAACAGAAGTGCCATTCAGGGCACCTGGGAACTGGGAATAAGACATTTTTTCGTGTGCCAATGCCTGCTGTGCAAAAATCATCTACTGCCAGCAACTTGGCAGCAGCATGTTTTCATCTATGGGAGTTGTTTGGTAACCCACATGGAGTGCCCAAAAATAACCCCACCTATCATTGCACTCTCTGGAAACAGGATGAGGAGCTTAGGAAGATGCAAGACTTGTGTGAGCAAAACCAGCAGCTTCTTGAAGAAAATGAAATCCTCAAGCAGGTAATATAGTCTCTCTGTCTCTCTGTATCTGTCTCTGTCTCTCTCTCACACATGCGTGCTCGCTCTCTCTCACCTCTCTCTCTCTCTCTCTTTCTTGATAACTGCTGAGAGACTTTTCTGCCACTGAGCTTGGCACTTGAGAGTAACCCTCAGTTTGATAGTCTAAAAATACAGGTTTTTTAAAAATATGCCCTTTCCTTATTCTTATCTGATCTTAGAATATAGGAGTCCTTCAACCTACTCTATTACAACCCTGTCTCACTTCACTGTGGCTTACAGTGGAGCTAGCCTAGGTCTAAGAATTTTTATGACTTACCACAAACACTCCCCCAAACTGCCTATATCATACATTTTGTCTCTCCTATTTTTCGGAAATAGTTTTTTATTATTATTATTATAAAGATGATGTACAGAGGGATTACAGTTACATACATCAAGTAAAGTGTACATTTCTTTTTTAACAATGTCACCCTCTCTCCTTTTCAAATAGAAACTGGCCCTCTTTCAAGTAGCCAGCAACCAGAACCCTCAGCTTAAGGATATCCACCAATCTCCAGACTCTTCCTTTGAGTATATGCCACCTAAGGTAAAATGTTCAGTGCCTTTGCATAGCCCAGGTTTGGGGTAAGTATGCTAAAAATCACCTGTTATGAGAGGCTAAAAATTAAAGTCCCCAAATTCTACTCTTTCGGCGTCTCCAATAGAGCTATAATACAATCCCAAGGAAAATAGCCATTCTACTTCCTCAGAAGACTTAGTTACTCTTCACTGTACATTGACATTATATAACACTACTGAGGAGTGAGGAGGAGTAAGAGCATTGAACAATGTTCAGCTGTCCATCCAGAGACACTTATCTCTTCATGTCATGACATATCATGAGTTCCTCCCTTCCTCCTTCAGATTGATTAATGTCTGCTTTCTATCTCCTCAAAGATTCTGCAAGGCCAAAGGCTAAAGCCTTTGATTGGTAAAGCCAAGTGAAGTATATTTAACGAGTCTGAAATCTCTGTTCTAAGAAATGCAGCTGGCAACAGCTACTAGGAAGATAGGCTGTCATGTTGTTGGATTTTTTTTTCATTTTTATTAAAAAGCCACTTAAAACTTCTCTTCTTAGCCAAAACCTTCCCGTGTTAAAGAAAAGTTCCTGGACCAAAGTATGGACATCGAGGATCTACAGTGTTCTTCAGAGCAGTCAGTGAATGAACATGAGAATGGTGGTGATGATGATGACAGTGATGATAGGGATGATGAGGAATGGAAACCCACAAAATTAGTTAAGGTGTCCAAGAAGACCATCCAAGGGGTAGGAACTATCTCTTTAACTCTCGCAAGGGTTTTGTAAACTGTCAGTGTATAGCTTTCTGAATCTAGGAATATGCTGTACCCTAGCCTGCATCTCAGCCTCTTGGATACTCTTCAGAGGCACACTGCCTCTACCAAGTGGGGGAGAGGGAGGTTGGGGCCAGCTAGTATGAATATGTACGTAATGTTCTGTACCATTCCATGGAAGCTGATCCAAAGTGACCCTAACAATCCTTCATATTTTTATAGCAGTTTATAATGTACAAAACATTCTCATACATGTAATCTTTTAATCATCATCAGAATTCCAGTGAGATATTTGCTTCTGCATTTTATAGCTAGACGTCAGATCCAGAAAGGAAATAACCTTGCCCAAGGTCATAAAAACAAGTGACAATCAGGATTTCAAGTTGAATATTCTGACTCCAAGCCCAGTTTATTTCCACCAAATTGTAGTCAGACTAGAAGCTTTGTAGGTACTTCATTTCCTTAACTATTAGAGTTGTATTTGCTCACTAGGCTAAGGGGCAAAGAAAGGTGTAGAGGAAAAAAACTAAGACCAAATACCCATTGGGCACTAGTGACTCATGCCTGTAATCCTGGCTACTCAGGAGGTTGAGATCTGAGATTTCAAGCCACTCTGGACAGAAAAGTCCTGAGACTCTTTATTTCCAGTTAACCAGCAAAAAGCTGGAAGTAGAGGTGTGGCTCAAGTAGTGGATCACCATCCTTGAGCAGAAAAAGCCAAGTTTAAGCTAGAGTTCAAAGCCCTGAGTTTAAACTGCAATACCAGCACAAAAAAGAAAGAAAAAGAAAAAAGATCAAACACCTCAAGGTTGAGAACA